CAAAACTCGAAACCTGGTGTGCAACATGTTCATTGTTCATTTACATTACACAGATCATCGAGTTCCGAGTGCCGAGTGCCGAAACCCGAAGCCCGAAACCCAAAATCATGGACACAACATGTCCATTTTTCACTCATTGCACAAATCACCAAGTGTCGAGTGTCGAAACCTGAAACCCGGTACTTCAAATGGACACGAATTGTATTTGTATGTATTATCCATTGGTGTAGGGTTCAAATAACTTGGGAATTGTATTTGTCAGCACTCGGTACTCGGTACTCGGTGATCGGTGGTCAGTGGTCGGTACTTGAGACTCAGTAGTCAATATAGGCAAATGATAATGAAAAATGACAGTTGTAGTCCACGTCAAGGTGAGTGTCTTGGTAGTCTTTCCTTGTCATTCGGCAAAACATCAGCAATAATGAAAAAATGAAAGTTGTTATTATGCTTAACTTCCTTACCGAAGGTTGTAGTCCAAGTCCAGGTGAGTGTAGTGATAGTCTTTTCTTGTCAATTGGTTATCTTGTTACTCATTATGCAGTACTCGGTACATGGTAATTGGTACTCAGTATTTGGTTTTGATACTCAGTACCTGGGAATCAGTAGTCAGCTTAATGAAGGTTGTAGTCCGAGTCTAGGTGAGTTTATTTGTAGTCTTTTCTTGTCCATTGGTTACCAGGTGACCGAGATATAAGCTAAAGAAATCTGAAACATCAATAATGACAAATGAAATACATGTGTGCAGTAAGTGAGTCTAAAGATAAAAGAATGAATATTAATAGTGAGACTTGCACATTATGTCGAGATATCCAACATAACAAGCCTGTGATGTGATCAGAGACCTGGAATAACACCCATATACATCCATTATAATAGCTTAAAAGCTTAGAAAGATTCATGAAGGATTGATGTAATGATAGGCAAAATGACATATGTGTGGAGAGTGACAATAGACATCTTTTATACAAAGTCACATTTATATATGATTCAGGCCGAAAATATCATTACAAATATGTAGGATAGATCGTAAACTACCCAAGGAACCCATACTGCCTACTGCCCTGAGGGTAGGGGGTGGGTAGAAGGGATATAGTGAAAATATGAGTTGACCCAGCATTAAAGTCCTACCACTGCTCAACTAATCATTTTCGATGCTTTGGGTCTTTGAAGTTTCCCACACTCAATTTCTTACCCATTTCACTTCCTCAGTACTCAATTCTTGGTTGATTTGTCTGTAAATTTATGTCTATGATACTTAAGATATTTGAAATGTACCCCAGGTTTCTGATTATGAAGATTCAATGTTTTGAAGGCATGGGCCCCTTATCAGGCGAAATGGCAAGTATACACACTAGCTCACAAACTCCAGCCTATTGTGAGCTGATCTTGGTCATAAGAAGCAAGAATATAAGCTATGCTCATTATATATTAAAAGGTTGGATCATGGATGCAAGGGCAAGATACTGAAAATCGTGAAAAAATGTCACAAGTGCAATTGTCTATGCTTTGTTCCTGGAAAAGGATCCTGTGTGTCCTGGGCTGGTTATATGATATATCTACTCCGAATATGCTCAGGAATAGACTCCCTACAGTCCTTGAGGTCCAGTCCTACAGGGAAAAAACCCCAGCAGGTGAACCACCAGAAGAGGGGGAGGTACACTATACAATAAATGATTACCCTATGGTCCTGAGCTCCTGATACATTGTTTCTATTGTTGAATAGATGATTGAGATATAATTTCAAAGTCTATTCACCTAGAAATGAACACATATATATGCAATATCCATTTAAGCACCAAGTCTCAACTACCGATTACCAAGTCCTGACACTTGATAGTTGATAGTCAGTATTCGAGCTCCGAGTGTTAATATTGCCTACCAATATCTCAGTCAAATGATAACCAAACCAAGACCCAAGTTCCAAACCTGACTACTGAATACCAAGTATCAGTACTTGGGACTTGGGACTATTGGCTGGAGTACCCAACTACTGATTCACAGGTACCGAGAATTAGAACCAAGTACTGAGTACCTGACTACTGATTCTCGGGTATTGAGTATCAGAACCAAATACCGAGTACTGATTCCCTTGTACCGAGTACCGAGTAACGAGATAACCAATTGACAAGAAAAAACTACCAATACACTCACCTTGGCTCGGACTACAACTTTTGTTCAGGAACTTAAACATAATAATAACTTTCATTTTTCATTATTGCCGATGTTTCAGATTTCTTTAGCTTATATCTCGGTTAAATGATAACTGATGGACAAGAAAAGACTACCAATACACTCCCCTAGACTCGGACTACAACCTTCGGTAAGGAAGTTAAGCGTAATAACAACTTTCATTTTTCATTACCATTTGCCTATATTGACTACCGACCAGTGGCTGAGTGCCGAAGCTTGAAACTTGAAATCGGTGGAAAATGAAATCTCGCAACAATGTACACATGAACATGTTTCATTTCCATAAACAATTCCCCAAGTGTCATGTACCGAGCCCCGAAACCCAAAGCCTGAAGCCCGGACTGTGTTGTCAGGTTAGTACAAGACACTCGGTGAATTGTCAAAGGAAATAAAACATCTTCATGTGTACATTGTTGCGAGATTTCATTTTCCACTGATTTCAAGTTTCAAGCTTCGGCACTAACCCGGAACTTGGGACTCGATTTTTGAGATGAAAGACATTTTTCAAACATGTTTGAATCAACCTTTCATGTATCCATAAACATTTTACCAACTCCCGAACCCTGAAATTGTGGACTGCCAGGTCTCGGGGGTTGGGGGTCGGTGCTCGGGACTTGGGAAATTTGGGGAGATCAATAAAATTTGATCTACAATAAATTTGATTTACAAACAAATTGATTTACAAACTTTTGAAAGATATCTGTGTTGTCTCACATATCGAGTCCCGAGTTCCGGGACCCCCAAACCCCGAAACCCGAGACCCGGCAGTCCACAATTTCGGGGTTCGGGGGTGGTAAAATGTCTATGGATATACAAAAGGTTGATTCAAACATGTTTGAAAGATGTCTTACCCGGAACTCGGGACTCGATTTTTGAGATGAAAGACATCTTTCAAACATGTTTGAATCAACCTTTCATATATCCATAAACATTTTACCAACCCCCGAACCCCGAAATTGTGGACTGCCGGGTCCCGGGTTTTGGGGTTTGGGGGTCCTGGAACTCGGAACTCGGTATGTGAGACAACAAAAATATATTTCAAACACGGGTAAGTCAATGTGTTTGTCAATCAACTTGATTGTAAATTATATTTTATTGATCTCCCCAAATTTCCCAAGTTCTGAGTTCCGAGCTCCGGGACCCCCGAACCCCGAAACCCGGGACCCGGCAGTCCACAATTTCGGGGTTCGGGAGTTGGTAAAATGTGTATGGATAGATGAAAGGTTGATTTAAACATTTTTGAAAGATGTCCCATATGAAATGTCAAGTCCCAAGTTTCGATTTCCGGGTTTCTGGAGTGCCGAGTCCCGAAGCCCGAAGTCCCGAAACCCGGAGTTCAAAACTCGGGACTTAACATTTCATATGGGACATCTTTCAAAAATGTTTAAATCAACCTTTCATCTATCCATACACATTTTACCAACTCCCGAACCCCGAAATTGTGGACTGTCGGGTTTCGGGTTTCGGGGTTTGGGGGTCCCAGAGCTCGGAACTCGGAACTTGGGAAATTAATAAAATATAATTTACAATCGAGTTGATTGACAAACACATTGACTTACCCGTGTTTGAAATATATTTTTGTTGTCTCACATACCGAGTTCCGAGTTCTGAGTTCCCGAACCCCGAAACCCGAGACCCGGCAGTCCACAATTTCGGGGTTCGGGGGTTGGTAAATCTCGGTTTGGGGTTTTGCACTGAAAATTTGACATTTATATGTATCTAGGCTCACCCATATATGTACCCATCTATGTACAATTCCCCCACATCAGCCCACCCATCTATGTATTATCCCCCACATTGGCCCACCCATCTATGTAATACATCCTATGTTGGCCCACCCGTCTATATAATTATACCCCACCTTGGCCCACCTGTCTATGTAATAAATATTTTATCACACCCTCAGCCCACCCGTCTATTTGATATCCCTTTCGTCGGCCCACCCGTATATGTAATACTTTTTATGTCGGCCCACCTGTATATGTAATACACCCCGCGTCAGCCCACCCATCTATGTAATATTCCCCTACCTCGGCCCACCCATATATGTAATACACCCCCATCGGCCCGCCCGTCTATATAACAATATTTGCCTTACATCTCTCTTCAGCCCAGCTGTCTATAATATCCTACTCTACATATTACCCTGATGGGCCCACCCATCTCCATGAATGATCATATTCCCCCGGCCCATCCGTCAACATCAAGGATATATATATCATTGGCATACATGGGCCCACCCGTCTCCATCGGAAATAATATGTGTCCCGGCCCATCCGTCATCATCGAGAATATACACAACATGGGCCCATAATCCGCTGGCCCATCTCATACGGGATATTATGTAGGTCGGGTGGTCCGTATAATACGGAATTTGTCACTGAAGGGGCTCCATTACTCACTTACCCCCAAGACTATTCCCAGACCGCAGACCCCTGGGTCGAATGCACTTGTCAGGCAAGTATAGCAGACTAGGCAGTGCAAAGACCACAACACAAATATATCAGTTTGGAGCCATCTTCGTATAGCCCCACTCTGTATTGTTGTTTCTACACCGAGATCTTCGAATTAGCTACTAGCCATACAGCTATGGGGCAAAACTGGTGATAGTACTGTGCTAGTTCCATTTCTGTGGAGATGTCTGATTCTGCTGTATTGAGGATGACATATTTGAGGTCGCGAATGGTGTACCTTGCACCCTTTGCCGCTCCTGGGTACTGCCTGATGATGTTTGTTTTGAAAACACCAAAGTCCTTACTCTCGTATCCCATAAGTGTGACTCAGAATCTTTTAGTTTCGATGTTGATGTATCAAACTATCATTTTGCATTTATCGGTGTCCGTGAGTGCATATGATGATGCTAAGTCCTCGAACAATTCTAAGAATTTGAGTAATTCCGAGGTTTCACCATTGAATGACGGTGCCTTGCTTGACCCAGGTCCGGGCATGGCGCCTATCCCTTTGTTTGACATGGTTGGGAAGCTCGAGGAGGTAGTTGTGCGAGTGGTGTGTAGAGGTGGTACATATAAGGGTTGTGCTGGCGCCAGACAGATAGTGGTCATTGTGATCGAGGGGTTGGGAGTGGCGATTTGGACTAATGGAATGGTAGGGAAATTTGTGGAGTGCTTGGGTGTCTTGGGTGGGAGTAAAGGTGGTTTAAGGAATTCTGGCTGGGGTATTGGAGGAGATGCTGGAGCGGAAAGGGTAGGTTCAGCACGTGTCAAAGGAAGAGTAGGAGTTTCTGGGTTGAATCTGGCCGGTTTGAGGGTAAATGCATTTTTAGGAGGAAGTGGTGGAAAGAGCAAGTTTGAGAGGTGTGGACAATTTATAGTATCGTCTTCCGAGAGAGAGGATTTGGACAGGTCTTCTGATGTCTCTATGCTGACTTTGGTACGATGGTGTTGACTTGGGGTAGGAAGGGTAGGTTGGTGAATTCTGCTAAGGGTGGTGTAGGAGGAACATCAATGGTATGTGCATGGCTTCTACGCTTCGTTTTGGGAGTGGGGCTGCTAGATGATGCCAGTGCAGATGGCTTTTCTTGTTCGAGGTGTAGCTGCACGTTGGGATGGTAATACTTCAAAATGGCGAGAGCAGGTGGTCAAAGGACCAGGTACTAGAAGGAAGAGATTGACTAGTAGGTTAGTAGTAAACCCACAAATCAATACTCGGTGCGTAAGGATTTGTTCAAAGCAATTCCTTCGCGGTGGGCTCCAATTTGTAAGGCTGCCAATGAGTCCGGCAGGGAATTGTGAACAGGAATGGTTAGAAAAGAGACGTGTTAGTAGATAACATGAAGAGAGATGAGACTAGAAGTGGAGATGAGGACTTTGGGAGGCTCTTTCAAATGATCTTGGAGCAGGGAATTCACTGTGTGATTTGCTGTAGGTATGAGTGTACATGGACAGTTTTATATACATTTTCTAGTAGCTTACTATGCTGAAATGAGAGTGAAGAGCATATGGCGAGTTCAGAGATATTGATGAAGGAACGGGAATCGTGGAATGAGAGCACAAGGTATAATAATGAAAGTGAGTGAAAGGAGATGTAATGAGTAGAGATAAAAGAAATGTATCCACATAATTTGGATATGAAGAGTTGCGCTCTTTGCATCAATGAATCATGTGGATGACATCGACTGTGTGGTTCAAGCATCATTTTTTGAAGCATGGCCGGCACATAAAGGATACACAATCCTTACACTTGCTTGCAATGACAGTATTGTGCCATTTGCATTGGCAAGTAGTGTTGTCTTCTTTGCAAGCTCTTGTTTCTGCTGATGGACCTTGACAGTGCATACAGACAGCTTTTCAACAGCATCAGTCAAGTGAGACTTTATACTCGCAAGCACACTGGCACTATGAGTCTCTGTTTGTGTTGTATGGGAGGGTAATGATTTTGCTCTGAGTCCATGATTTTCTGTTGCCATGCATGCAGAAGCTGCTTGATCTGTACAGGTGAACACTTTTTTGTTTATTTAGAAATTGCTTTGAGCTGAGCATTTGAGCAAGTGACAGTCACTGAGATTTAGAGAAGAGGCACAAGGGATCAATTGAAGATGGCATTGAGATGAGGCAGCACAGTACCTCAATACACAGGCACATGATTAGCAAACACAACTCAGACACACTTGTGGCTGAAATTAACGTGTCAATTTGGGTATCTCAGATCTATATCAAACCTGAACCAGCACAGCACACAACCCCATTTTTTTAGATGTGGATACATGTTTTTAATGGATATGAACATTTTGTTTAATTTTGTTTTCAATTTTTGTTGCATCTTGCCAGCATCTTAGCTTGTATCTTGCTGCATTATGTAGATTATTCAAATTCAATCTGGACAAAATATTTGAATTAATGCCATTCTCTACCTGAACCTTTCAATGATCATGTTATGGTGTTGTGCTGTCTCATTTACTCGCTGTGACTTGTGTGTCATGTAACAGACTGTAGGTTAGGCTATCAAATAATCGTGGGAACAAATGTTAGCTGTAAGGTTTTGCACCTCCCCACACTTACCTTCATCACCTACCCACACCCTGCAGCATGGTTCAAATCACACTTCTTGTTCTAGCTAGAGTCTACATACCTGCACAGCTAGCTAGTATCCACCTTCGCTCTCCCGGCCATATACATGTGACACACCCTGCCACTCACTCCCTGCAGGCCATCAGTATTGTCCACTGCACCTGGTTAGCCTGATTAGTAAGCCTTATTAGGCTGAATGATAGCATGCCTTGCCAACTATAATTAGGCTTGAATGTAATACTACGCCGACACCAGCATTAAACCACGCCCCAAATCATCTAATACCTTACTGTAGCTAGTACTAGTGTTGAGTAAGCTGGCGCCCTGCCCAGGAATGTATCCCACCGCCATGCTCAATTCTGTCACTTCCCGCAATGTGCCTGTCTTTGTCATAGCAGTTGATTTGTCTTCCCACGACCTTTCCCTTATCCTGTATACCAGGCCGCTCACTGCAGGCTGTCGCTGTCACCTCTATAGCCTAGCGGTGTCATATCCCACGTTCCGGACCCGGACCGATCACACCCTCATCTCCAGACTTCCAGATCCGACCTGCTTCTATCTTCCATCCCTGTTCCCTTTGTATGTTCCTTCTCAAGTTAGACTATACTCATTTTCCATACCTCATTTCATTTCCGCCTTTATTTTCCTATGTTCTCATTTCCGTCTTCATTTACTATTTTCCGATAGACTAGTGTTTGACTTTTCTATATGCTTCGTCCACAGCCTCACATAGCTTCAGACTGCGCTGACTGATTCTCCGTTAAGTCCTCAGTAGTATATAAGCCCTGTAGAATCTTTGTACTTCCTTAGTTCGAATATTATCTTAGACTCTGCTCATTCCCTCCTCCATCCGACTTGAGTCTCTCCTCTCGTCAACCTCCAATAGTCTTAGGATCGACTCCTATAAACTCGACACCTCCACCTCTACCTCTGGTAGTCCTCCGCTGTTTCCTTTCTAGTTCGGACATCGTCCGGTGTAGAGACTCGCGTGTCTCTATGCTGAATATGCGGCCCCTTACCCACATAATCCCCTATACGTTCCAGCTCTCATCCATAGGATCAGTCTTGTGCGCACTTGCATGCACCATACGTGCACTTGTGCGCATCTTACGTGCACTTGTGCGCATCTTACGTGCACTCATGCCTCACATGCTTCGCGCGCGCGTCCGTGCGCCTCACCCTTGGTCTTTGCGCTCCTGTCCACCTGTCCATCCTACGTCCTCACTGATTTACTGGTGCATTATTTTTATCAATCTCATTGAATTGACGTATCCTCGGTCCGATGTGTGCGCTTACATACAGAACACCTATCTTAGGCTTTAGAATATAATTAGTATTGATATAGTTACTCGGTTCAGTACCACGCTTGGATGCGCCACATAGTGTTATTCTCGGGTGCAATTCCCCTTCTTAAAAGAAGGGTGGGTTCTTAGGACAAATTTTTTTACTTTCCCCTTATCTCAGTATACTGCAAAGTGTATAGTCCACCTAAGCACTTGAAATCTGATCATACTTCTCTATCGATTATCATTCACGTTTCTACTGTCTTCTTGAAGACCCTTTCACTTATAACTCGAAGCGCACCCTTGCTCACGCGCACGTGCATCTCATACCTCCCGCTCACGCATGCCTCTCGTGCACCTTCGTGTGTGTTATCTTCTTGTGCCTCTTAACACCCGTCTAGTTGACAGAATTTCCCTCCATTTTATTAACGTGGAACTTCTCTCAGTAGTTGTCCTTTGGCTCGAGTCGTATTCTCATATCCAGGTTTTGCTGTAGAGCCCCCATTAGTTTTTAGTGTTTCCACCCACAGTCAAGATTCCTCACCTTCACCGGATTAGTCCTATCACTTGTTCCCGAACGTCCGCCGGAATTCCCGTGCATTGGACATCATCTGACAACCTCTGGACATCGTCTAACAGCCTTCGGAAGTTAGGGGCACATACTCGGGTAAGGGGCGCAGCACACGAGCTGAAGCCAAGTCCTTCGGATTCGACCCTTGAGCACGTTCTTAACAAGCAGCCATCTTCCTAGTATCAATTGTGTTCTATAACACCCACCTTCTTCAAAAGCTCATACTCAGTATCTCAGACATTGATCTTCATTGGTCTTAGTCAAGTTGTCACCAGAGTTGAAATCTGTGTCTCTTGAGGCTTGACCACTGCCATTTCGCATCATGATATCTTTAAGTTCTTTTGATAGACTTTGCATAGTCGTACTTTGGTACTCTCACAAGTCTTATACTTAGACATACTTCAACATACTGACACATCTTCAGAACTTCGAAAGCACCTTGGGTGATGCAAACCATTGGGTCAAACAATCATTCCAAATAAACAAGAAGGATCGATTGCACAAAGTACAACCATGCAAAAGCGACTCTACTAACTATGACTCATAGCATGGGAAGTGAAGTGAAATGCGAGTCTGGTCTCAGGTCCTCCCTCTTCTGCTATGGATCCTTCCTTTTCCTGCTCTGGAAGCAGATCCATCTAATGTTAAAGGCGAGGATCATGCTTTGGATCAGAGAGTGATATTTTGAATCTGCTCAATCCAGGAGAATCAGATTTTGAATCCATTTCAGGAGTAACACAACCAAGACCATTGGAGATTAGTTTGTGAGAAAAATATCTATGGGGGAATGTTAAGTTATGATTTCATAGAACAAAAATGTTGTTGTTGGCAGGTTTGAAACCTGCACAGTTCAAGAGAAACAGATTTTGAATCTGGCAACAACTTGACCAAGACCAATGAAGATCAATGTCTGAGATGCTGTGTATGAGCAAATATTCAAGACATGTTCTTATAGAAAAAATGTGACATCCCACAAGTTTCAAACTCGTTGCACTCCAATGGAAACAGATGTTTATTCTGCAATAACAGCTGCTTGGCTAAACACAACTGTCATCAGCTTGCAAGCAAACCGACCATGAGAAAATTTCAAGGTGTGCTTTCATAGAAAATGATTGTATCACTGGCAGGATTCAAACCTGCGCAGTCCAAGAGAAACAGATTTTGACTCTGATGATCACTTGTTAATTTCAGCTTTAGCAGGTTTTGAACTCACGCAGACAGATTTGGATTCTGTTGTATCAACTGCTTGGCTAAGACCAGTTAGATGCACTCCTAATGAATCCATTCAGAAGTGAATCCTCAATGTGTATTTGTCTGCATTTTGTCAGTTCTAACAATAATTTCTAACATCCCCCTTGAGTCAAATCATATGTGATCCTCCATGCTATTGAAAGAACTGCCTTTAGGATTTACTTGTGAACAGGTCCATTGGAAGTGCATCTCACTGGTCTTAGCCAAGCAGTTGATATGACAGAATCTAAATCTGTCTGTGTGGGTTCAAAACCTGCTAAGATGAAATTATCAAGTGATCACCAGAGTCAAAATCTGTTTCTCTTGCAATGCACGAGTTTAAAACCTGCCAATAATGAAATTTATTTTCTATGCAAACACATCTTGATATTGTCTCATGAATGATTTTCTCAAAAACTCATCTTAACTGATGTTAGCCATGTCATTGCTAAAATAGATTCAAAATCTATTTCCATTGCAGTCTGCAGGTTTGAAACCTATTGAGTGACACATTTTTTGTATTAGAACATGTCTTGGATATCTGCTCATAGACAGCATTTCAAATGTTGATCTTCATCGGTCTTAGTCAAGTTATCACCAGAGTCAAAATCTGTTTCTCTTGAACTGTACAGGTTTGAAACCTACCAACAATAACATTTTCATTTTATTCTATGAAATCACACCTTCACACTTCCACATGAATCTTAAAATGAATTGGAAGGCCTCAATTTTCTGGCGGCATCATGACTTTCTTGGAAGAGAAACCAAAAAAATTGAAAGCTGGTGTATGGAACCATGTTTCACTGCTAGCCTTGCAGCAGCTTGTTTTATGATCCATGTCAACTGT